ATAATATATATATAATATATATATCTAAAAGCTAGTAGTCAATATAAAACCGCAAAGAGCTAACTAAACTCCAATAATGGTTTTAAATATAACAATAAAACGGGACTTGTTTAATTTTATAATTTCAAATCTCAAGATCTTATAGCCTATGCGATTGATTCGTTCAAACATATTGACTTAGCTCGTTGTCTTGATCAAGAATTTTTTTAGCTAGTTCCATTAAAAAGGAGTTCCCATAGAACCTTTAGAAATCGTCCCATATAATGGATGCAGCTATGTGCAAATATAAAAGCTCACTACAGAAATGAATTACGTTCATGGATTACGTAAGTACGACAGTCAGACAGATGAGCAGGGACGACATTGCGCAAAATACTCTCTTCAATCAAAAATATTAATCTGGAATTTTAGAGGTATTTCGATGGGACTACACGTATTTCTAGTTTATATGATATATGCAAGCCCTGCCTGTATATATAAAGCCAAGGTAATTTGATTTCTGAGAAGCTGAGCGACTCTCTGCCACGATCATTCCACATTCACATATTATAGAACTGTGAACCATATTCAGAGTTGTTGGAAACCTCCAAAATAAATAAGTTGATGGGGCAATTGATGTATTTTTTAAAGATGCAAAAATTTGTATTTGAAAACTAAGCGTAAACTAGGCAATCAATGAGGAAGGAAAATGCTTTGTCGTTCTTTTCGAGTTATTGATGGATTGCTTGATGGTTCGTGGGGGGGTGGGCAGATCGCTTAGGCGAAGCTCCTCTGCTGCTGCTGCTGCTGCTTCCAGCTCTGGTGGTAGGCGTGGTAGCCACTCTGTGTCTGGGCGGGGGTGTTGCGGCCGAAGGGACTCTTCGAGTTCACCTGCAGCATGTAGTCGCCGCGGATGTCGTAGCTGGTGGCGATGCCCATGTAGGCGCGCTTGCCGTAGCCGTTGTTCTGCTTGTACTCCCTGTAGGAGCTGGCGGCGACAGCGGGGAAGTTGCGCTCGTTGCCGGGGCGCACGGACTCGGCGTAGTAGCGGGTGGCGCGCAGAGAGGCCTCCACGACGTTGTCGGCGCCGGGAACACCGGTGGCCGGGCCATTGGGGTAGAAGTCGACGTCGGCGAGGCGCTCCGAGGTGCCCATGCCGTAGGCGGACGTGTGGATGGCATCAACGAAGTCGGCATCGCCGCGGGCCAGGCCGGTCAGCTTGTTGTCGGGCTGGGCGTACAGGCGGGCGGGGTCCAGGCCAGTGATGCGGCGCAGCTTGTGGCCGGTCTGGCGCGTGTAGTGGCGGCCAGCGATGCCGGCGACATGGGCGGCGGGTCCTTGGCCGATCAGATGGATGATCTCCTGGGGCACGTTCACCTCGTTGGTCAGCTCGACCAGGCGCTGGCCAATCATCTCACCAATGCGCTCCACATTCAAGGTGACGTACTGCTCGAAGTCCCCGATCACGTTGCCCAAGGAAATGACCACCAGATCGCCGGTCGTCTTGTCCTCCTGCTCCTGGTTCTGCTTGCGGCCCTGCTCTACCTGTTCGTCGCTGTTGCTCTTCTGCTCATCCGTCTCCTGCTGGCTGGGGTAGGGCTGCAGATTGTAGCGCTGCGCGTAGGCCTCGATCAGCTTGCGGTTGGCCTTGTTGGCCTGGCTCCAGGTCTGGGGCAGACCCTCAATGAAGATGGTCACCTCGTCGTTGCCGAAGTTCGTCTGGCGCTTCGCCGTCTGCACAAAGTTGTCCAGGTTGAACTCGATCTTCTGGCCGTTCTCGCCGACAAAGTAGCCCTTGATCTGGCTGGACTCCGGCACGTACTCAGGCTTGAAGATGCGGTTGAACTGAGCCAAGTGATCTGTGCGAGGAGAGAGATTAGCAGAGATGCAGACGAAGACACCGCCTCCACTCCAGCTCCAGCTACTTACACATTTTGTCCAGCAGCGATGCTCCCTCATCGACGGTCAGGCCCTCAAGGCGACGCAGGGTCACATCCTTGAGCGTGGGCAACTGCTCGATCTCGCTAATGCTCACCCAGTTGCTGGGGTCGTCGTAGTTGTTCAGCGAGTTGGACTGCCTATAGCTGTTCGTGGCCAGGGCCACGGCCACAAAGCAGGCCAGAACACACAAGTTGCGCAGAGGATTCATAGTTTCAGCAAAGCCCGTCTCCTTCTATTGTCGTAGACGCCGTACCAAGCTGTACTGCATGCTCTTAGCCCATCGCCCGGCGGTTTTATAGCGGCTCCCACTGCTGCTTGCCGGCGGCGCGCTCACGTGTCCGCCAGCGGAAGCCCCAGAGAGCTGACGGGTGCATCTGGCTCAGCACTTTTCGGAAGCGACGCTGAAATTCTAGACAGCACAGTTTTCTTGATATGTAAATCGAGAATCGGCAATCATCGATCGGGTGACTCGGCACTTTCCACACACACTTTTCGCTTTATCAGTTGT